CACAACAGAAGAACAGCTTTTACAAATACAAATGGAAAAAGCAAATCTGGTTCTTCGCTTCCAGGATGTCCCAGAGAGCAAAGGAGAGAATCTGAAGCATATGATGAGCGAAGCATTGGCCCCAGTGACAGATTTAAAGGCGGACTATCTTATGAGCGAAATGGATGTGGTCTACAGGTCCTATTCCATATACATAAAGAAGAAGAATCTGCCTGGGGAAATTGTGGTGAGATTCTCGAAGAGGCACGTAAGGGATTGTATCCTGAGAGCGAAGGCGGGGACACCTTTGAGAATTGAGGACAAGACTATTCGGATTTTGAAAGATATTCCATTTGAAATAAGACAACGGAGAAAGAAGTATAAAGATTTAATCCTTTTTCTTCAAACCAACGCAATTGGCTATAGGTGGCTATACCCGGAGGGCGTGACCTTTAAACTCCAGGAAAAGAAAGATTGACTCTGTGGCAAAAGCACGAGACTTTTTGAGAGCACAGCAGGGTGAGCCAGGGGAGGTGGATAAAGAAGAAAAGGACCAGTGGCGAGCTGGACTCGGGGTCCTCTGGAGAGGACTCTCTGTCGGAGAAAGGTGCAGTGGCTCCTAAAAGTCCTTACAAACTGCGGAAGAGACAAGACAAGAAGAAATGAAGGTTGAAAGACTCTGAATGGAACTCTGATAAATAAGATATTTTAACATGGAGATGCTGAGGGAATCTTTCCTAACAGTTAAACTTAAGATTTAAAAGTTATAAAAGCATGACTGACTAAGTTAATAGAATGTAGTGTTTAAAGGGATAGTATAGTATATAAGATATTTTGAAGATCTCCTCTCTTGGGTTTTTAGTCAGTAGTGGTTATTTTTACTTTCTCCCTAAATGTAGTACCCCTCCCTTTTTTCATTGTAGTTTGTAGTCTATATATATAAAATGCAATAAAAAAATACCCTCCGGGGGGCCAAAAAGAAAAGAAAAGAAAGTCTGACCTGTGTGATGAGACACTTGAGCTCAGTCCTCTCCATCTCCCAGGTTGCCTTGGCCTTGACAAACTGTTGCTGCAGCTCGTTCATGCCTCTCCTCTCTTCACGCAGCTCTGTGCACAGCTCCTTTAAGATCACCTTCATGTCTGACAGGGTCTTAATGTACTCATTGGGCTGCGAAGACAACAAAAAAAATGTGCCTACTGAATTCTGATGTATTTTGGACAGTGTAGCCACTGGTTACCACCTCCTATAATCTTTCTTAGTTCCAGAAACACAGCTTCAGAAATTCCTTTCTATTACATTTTTACCCCACCCTTCCTCCAGAGAAGTCAGGGACATAGACACATTCCTCCCTTCTCCCATTTTATCTGTCCAACAAACCTATAAGGTAGATAAGGGAGAGTGTGAATGGTCCAAGGTCACATAGTGAGTTTCATGGATTTGAACCTGGTCGCTCAGGATAAGTCTGATACTCTTAACCACAACATACACACTGTCAACTTTGACAAAGCAGCACATACAGAAAACGAAAGGCAAAGAGAATTAGCTTGATTTGAGTTATACCCCTTCTCACAAGCTTTGAATTCTAGGGGGAAATTAGCCTAGTTTGATAACTAGTTTGGGAAAGCCCTGCCTAGCCTCAGAAATTAGACGTCTGTGTTTATAGGGGGGGGGGGAAGCTGGGACAATGTGCCACCCAGATGAAAGTGACCTTGGTGGCCACAGAACAGAACCTGAAGGCCAACTCAGAAGAGATGCTAAATGGAGCTTCCAGCAGGTTTGTGGGTTTTTTTTAATGAGTTCAACAGGTTGTGGGCCCCAATTCCGGTCATGACTGAGGCAACTGGGGAGTAGGGTTATGCCTTCAGCTTCACAGCATTTTCCTGACTGGTATGAGAACCCTGAAGCCAGGTAACTGAATTTGTAAAACCACTGGGAACTCTGTTCATGAAATTACTGGAATCTCCTTGTATACGTGAATGAATCATCTCAGATCAAACACTAGAGACAGAACTTTCACATCATGTCAAACAGAATAAAGTCAGCTCATATATTCAGATGCATGCAAATCATCAAGTGGAGCTATCAAGGGATGCACATGAATGGGGGGGGGGAGTGAACCAGTCCTAAAATACTGCAAAGAATCTCCAGAAGTCCAGGCTGCATAGATGATGGGTCTCCCATTGCTCCCATGTCCCATCTCACCGCGTTCTGAGACCAGCCGTCTCCAATACATGTCTTGTTATCTGCTTGCTGCTGGGGGTTCAGTTCCTCCTCTTCTATCAGCAGGTACAGTTCTTTCATGCTATTCACCTGCAAAAGCAGAGAATGGAGCAAAACGTGAGCAGGAGAGTCTCCAATGGCTGCACTACCTGTTTTGTGTGCAGAGAAACAGTATGTGGCCCATTGGAAAGTCCAAGGCTGAGGACTATCTGCAGCAAGGTAAACGGAAGAGATCAGAGCACAAGATGAGGTTCTCTGAAGCGTGTACAGAGTTGCTCCATTGTCACATCATCCTTGTTGCTTTTTCTGTACCAGGCACTCTACAGTACACTTGTGTCTAAAGAGAGAGTCGTCACTTGAATTCCTCCCCACCCTGCTCTATAAAGAGGCTGTTGTTCCCAAGCCTACAATCACTCAGCTGCCCACAGACCATGCATTCTGCTTTCATCAGGAATGAATCTGTTGCAGTAGCAAGGGGCCATTTTATTTCTCTGCCTGACTAAGGCTCCCCTTCTTGTATTCAGATGAGGGACTGCTTGAGAGGGACTTATCAGACAAGTAAAACAAACAAACAAAAATGATGCCTCTCTTAACAAAAGTAGGGATAAAAGTGGATGTATGCCAGAACGGAGCTTATAAATTGCCACAAGGAGCCAAGGCCTCATTCTAGAGGCAGCAGTAGACTTTGCAGCTCTCTCTGCACTTATGCAGAGGCCAATTGTCTTAGCACATGCAGGAGATAATTCAGAAGAGACACCTAATATGCATACTGCAGCCAAGGTAGATTTCTCATTTACATTCGGATATGATCAAAACCAAAACTTATATCTAAATAAACTTAAATCTCATGTGCAGAATCTATTGCTATACTTTATATGGCTGAGAGGACCTGAATGCTGAAAGCTTTGCCTCCAAAGAACAGACAAACAACAAACAGGAGGAGTTGGATACAGCTGAGCTGACATGGAACCCTTCTCGGTACACACTGTTTGAGCCCACACTGAAAAAATATGGCTCTTGGAGAAACAGTATCACGCAATCTATCTGTCCTATTATCTTAATCTTATCTTTCTCCCCCTTTTCACTTGGTACAATAACAATTCATGGGTTATGGGAAGTGAGGAAGGAAGGATGTGGCCATTTCTGCAGAACTGGAAAAGAAGTAAACTCAGCAAAACTATTAACTCAAGCAAAAATGTGTGCAAATGCCGTCATTGCCTGCTTCTCTCCCCAAAGCAGCTAAGAACATCATTCTCCTCCATTCTAAAATCAAATGCATTCGCATTTATTTATTTATTTACACCCTGCTTCTCTCCCCAATGGGGACCCAAAGCAGCTAAGAACATCATTCTCCTCTCTTCCATTTTACTCTCAAAACAACCCTGTGAGGTAGGTTAGACTAAGAGTGAGTGCCTTGCCTAAGGTCACCCAGCAAGTTTCCACAGCAGACTTGGGATTCAAATCCAGGTCCTCCCAGTAGTCTAGACTGCCACTCTCTCCACTATGCCACACCAGCGCTCAGTGGTAGTACAGAAGTTCCCCAGGCACTCATTTGCTCTGGAGAGGACAAGCGAGCTCGTGCTTGCAGCTCACCATACCTCCAAGAAGTCATTGCCTTCATTCTGCAGAATCTTGCCCTGCCTCCAATGTTTCAGGAACCACTTTAGCTTCATGAAAAGGAGCAAGAAATTTTGCTTGAACTGCTGGGATTCCTGCACCAGGAGGTTTTTTTCTTGGCTCCAGAATTTTTGCTCCAGCCTCCTCTGAAGGTTCAGGCTCTGCAGCTCAAATTCCCGCCTCAGGAGGGCCTTCTGGTGATCTTCCTTCAGCTGAACAGAAACAGCAAGATTGTTAGGCAGAGAGCGAGTATGTTAAGCAGAGTAAAATAATTGCGGGGCCAGCAGCACACGACACCAAGATATTGTTTATTGATTGATTGTAGACACTAGTAGTTAAAAATATTGTACTTCAATAGCCTCAGGTGGAAGAGGGTACCCTCTTCCAAAGGACGCTCTGGAAGATGATGGAATTCAAGGAACTGCCTGAATCTGCTCCCCAGCCGCAGGTGAAATGATTGGCTATTCATCAAGTTTCTGGGACAAAAGAAGTCAAGGGTTTGCAAGAAATCTATATTTCCATAAGCTCTGTTTTGACCATATAAAGTGATTTTAGACAAATTCCCAACGTTTTGACAAGGACTAATGTGGTAGCAGATAGAGACGCACAAACAAACACACACACACACACACACACACACACAGAGTTTAAATTTCTGAACTTCCCATTCATTCTGTGCATGTTGTCACAAATCTCTCTGCAACCAGAAGCCCCCAAATTCTCTTTTGTTGTTTGGGGATTTGGGGTGGATGAGTGGAGGGAACAACTGTAACCTAAACTCATAGAAACTTGTACTTGATGCCTGATATCTGAATACGGGGCCATGCAACACTTACAAATGAAATATATATATAGAAGCCTAACTAAAAGCACCAGGAAACTGTCTTATTTCGCCTACATATATCGTTACAAGATTTAATCAGAAAGGGCGGGGAAACAAAGTAATCTTTGGACTCTCAGGCTTGCAAGACAGCATCCTATGCAACTGTGGTTCATTAGCTGGTAGTGGTGCCAGAATAGCACATTAGAGATTCAGCAAAATGTTCTAATCACCCTCATAGCACAGCAGGCCTTGGATAAAGCCATGGTGACAGGAGATCTCACCCTGGAGTAGTCCAGAAAACTGCTCCAGAAGCTCGTTCCCAGATTTCCAGCCATCTTTTATGGTTTTCGAAAAACCACCAAGTACCAGCACAGCTTAAGTAAGACATCATAGGTAAAGGTAAAGGTTTCCCTTGCTCGAAGGCCAGTCGAATCCGACTTTAGGGATGCGGTGCTCATCTCCATTTCCAAGCTGAAGAGCCAGTACTGTCCAAAGACATTTCTGTGGTCATGTGACCGGCATGACTAGACACCGAGGTGCACGGAGTGTTGTTACCTTCCCACCAAAGCGGTACCTATTTATCTACTTGGAATTTCTGGCTTTCGAACTGCTAGGTTGGCAGAAGCAGGGACCAGAGACGGGAGCTCACTCCATCAAACTGCTGAACTACCCACCTTCCAGTCTGCAATTCAGCATCTTAACCACTTGAGCCACCGCACAACATGCATGCTATAGAACCATCCCAAGCAGAAAATCTCTCTGACCTGGCAGATTTTCTGGGTGAAGTTCTCTGCTTCCTCCTTCCTCAGTTGCCTCTCCTGGGAGAGCTGTTCCTGCAGGCCCCTCAAGCTCTCATTGGCCTCCGAAAGAACCAGCTGCAACTCCTTGATCTGCAGGAACAGTGGCAGAGACAACAATCACAGGGGACACCATAGGGGGAACACTCCATGTCTGCTTTTCAAGTAAGGTTTGCTAACCATATGGAAACTGTACCCGCCTCAGTAAGGGGTGTCCTAGGCCTATGATCATGATTCTGTGCTTTCAGGCCACTTGTGCTACTGCAAGCTTCACTGATGGTCTGTATTTGTTCTTTGCATTTTTTAACTGATCTGTTTAACAGTCTGACAACTTTAGAAGACAACAAGAAATCAGGCAGCTTGGAAATATCTGGTTAATTAGTAGGCTTGTTTGTAGCCACCAAACAAACTTCCTAGCCTGGCAAACATCCAACACACACACACACACACAAGCAAACCCTGTGATATGAACACTATTAAGAAGATTTATATAACTTTTTAGACTTTATAAAATTGCAAAAAGTTTTTTCAGCCTTCTTAATCGTACAATATTGTAAAAAAAGTCTAACATTATGAGTACCCAGTTATGAACTCATTTCAACTTTACAGTCTCCCTCAGATGTAATCTTATATCGTAAGGAGGTGTCAGCTTCTTAATCCAGCTCAGTATTGTAATTTCTTTCATAATATCCTGGAATAAACCATAATCAATGAAAATTCACATGTAGCTGGATGGAAATTAGTTATTTTAAACTTATAATGATTTAATAATTTAATTTTTAGCAAACTTACTTCTGGTTCCTTATAGGAAATGTAATAGTTGATATAATTACAGAGGTACAGCCTGCAATAATGTCATATTACTTTAAGAAAGTGATGTTCATCAGGCAGCTGCATGGAATTAACTCCTAGAATCTTTATAGAGTCTGGATCCAGTTAGTTGTAGAGAGCATTTGCCAGCCAGAAAATGAAGGCTTCTAGCCGGGTGAAATAAGGACTGGTTTGCTACTACTATAATAAATAGTGCTTAGGAGAGCATAGCCAACAAAATCCAGGAGGCTTTTTTGCACCTTAAACACTTATTATGGAACCAGAAGTAAGTTTTCTAAAAATTAAATTTTGTAAGGAGCTGACACCTCCTTACAATATAGGATTACATCTGAGGAAGACTGTAAAGCTGAAATGAGTTCATAACCGGGTACTCATAATGTTGGACTATGTTGGACTTTTTTTACAATATTAAAATCAGTAAGCGAATACTAAGCATGCTGTCATTCTTAAATGCGAGCTTTAAAAAAGCATTGCCCATGTCTCCAAAAATTATATGTTAGTGTTGTGTAGGCACAAACAGGAAAAGTAAGACATGTGCAAAACAAATTCAAGTGCCTCCTCTGGATTAGTAGTGAGTACTAGGAACTGGGAATTCTCAATCTGACGCGTTCTGACTGCTACATCTGCCTTCATGCCCATTATGTTCCATTCCCAAGTTTTATTTTTCACCTCATTAAAGACATATATGCCTTGAACTGCCATTTCTCCAGCCAGGACATTCTCCCCAGAGCCTCTCTCCTCCCTAGGGTTGCCATTTGCCCGCTGGGGGCAGAGGATCCCCTGATTTTGCAGGCTCCTGCTCACCGCCAGTCAGCTGGCTGGCAGGAGGGACCCCCCCCTCCCCAAACATCAATATTGCACGCGACATGCCTGCGTCACCTGGAAGTGATATCAGCACATTGGTGTGTGTGGGGGGTGCTGCTCCGGATTTCAGGCAAAACTCTATGGTTTGATGCCACGGTGGGTGTGTGGGGGGGGTGCTGCTCCAGATTTCAGGCAAAACTCTATGGGGTTTGATGCCAACTTTACCATAGAGTTCTGCCCAAAATCCAGAGCTGGCTGGCAGGAGGGACCCCCCCCTCCCCAAACATCAATATTGCACGCGACATGCCTGCGTCACCTGGAAGTGATATCAGCACATTGGTGTGTGTGGGGGGTGCTGCTCCGGATTTCAGGCAAAACTCTATGGTTTGATGCCAACTTTTCCATAGAGTTCTGCCCAAAATCCAGAGCATCACCCCCCCCAATATGCCGACTTCACTTCCGGTGAGGCAGGCACATCGTGTGCAGTGTCACTGCTTTGGGGGGCATAGGGGGTGATGTCACCCCCCACTCCCAGAACATCCCCCCCATTTCCCCACTGGCAGGTGAAAGGGACCTGGCAACCCTACACCTCCCTACCCTGGGGTCAAGTGGGTACATACCTCAGATGCATAAGAGTCTTTCTCCTCCGGTTGGTACGACTTGTAACTCCGGTCAAGTTCCACATTGGCACCCACATCAACGGTGCTGGTGTTGCTACTGCTGTGGTAGAGGTCAGAGGACCTACTCTCCCCGACGTCCCAGTCTGGGGCCTCCCTAAATTCAGACTGCTGCATGCATGGGCAAGTTAATGAGAACAAACCAAAAGAGCAGAAAAAAAGAAAAGAAAAAACAAACAAAACAATGGGTCTCAGGAACAATAAGAGATCTACAAGACAACAAAAAGGATGACGAGGAGGAGGAGCTTCACTACTGTGGCGGAAGACAAAGTGGAAAACAAAAGGAGACACAAAATGAGCAGACACGTGGACTGGATTTTTGGGGGAGGGGAAAAAGAGAGAGAGGGAAAAAATGCGCAAACACCAGTTATGGTGCCATGCAGTGCCAGGGGTGGGGTTGAAGCTAGTTAGGATTGGAAGGGGAAGGCCAGCAGCATGCGCAAAAATAGAACTCTGAAAAATTGGAGTGTGCTTCAGGAGGTTGTCAACCCAGTCCAATTCCCCAGAACTCCCTCCCTTCCTTTTAAGCTTTTCTTGAGTCTTGGTCTAATTGTAACACCAGCTCCTGATGAGCAAAGAAGGCCTTGGCTACTTTGCCTCTTGGTGTCCAGAAGTCCAGTCAGATAGGCTGACATCTCATGGGTAGAGGACCAGCTTGGCAAGGCAGCAGATACACCATGTGTTTGTAGAGACATCATTTCCAGCAATCATTTTAAGTCCAGTCTTCAAAGGGCAAATGCAGGAGAGCTTGCTGATATGTGAATAACACCTTACTTCCATAGGCCCTATGACCCTCCAGAGAAGTGACTACATCAACCAAACCAAGCATTTGGGCCAATGGTTGCCTTCTGACGCTACAAGGGGTTGCAGCACAACTCCCTTCAGCTTTCTGAAGTAGCAAAGATGAAACAACACTCAAAATCAGGAAATAGTTTGATCTTTCCTCTCTCTTCAAATTTTGTCAAACAGGCCTTGAAATTTTCTTCCTGGGCCAATGCTTTGAAGCATAAATCCTAAAGTTAAGAGGAAATCTAATCTTGTCCTTCAATAAACACTCCCCATCTTTTATACCCATAGATTATCGAGCTCATGCTCTTGAATCCACGTGGAAGAGCCAATACCAGGTGTACGACATTTCTGTGTTATCTTCAAGATCTACTGTGAAGCCCAACACCTGATACTCAAGAGTTCTAGTGGATTGTAGACTTTAAAGCCATACCCCACTTGAAATAAAATTTTAATGGTCATGTTGATCTGTAGAAGTAAAAGTGCAATATTAAGCCTTCTAAGTCCACTGAAGTTGATGGACTGCTTAGGGCACAGTTAGGGCACAGCTAGGCACAGTGCTGGGATCTCCTGCTAATTTTTTAGAATTCTAAACTGTAGCAGTAGGGACTCTAGTCCAGATCAGGGCTGTGATGTGTTCAAAAGGGATTAACCCTTTACCCACCATGCTATATTCCTGATCTCAGTCTGCACCCCTCAAATGCCCTGTGACAGAAAAAGGTAGATTTGAACTCTGATGAGATAATTTGGGAGATTTTTCCCACTGGGGATTATTCAAGAGAAATAGCTTCCCTTGAGGAGTGCACTGATAAAAAGTATTGGTTTAACCAGCTCAAATATTAACTTAAGAATTATTCTGGAGGTAGAAAGTGACAAGGACTACAAGTAATAAGCTATCATCAGCTTGAACATTCTGTTAATATAGGGTGTTACTTATATGCCATCAGCTAACGTTTCAGGCCCCAGAAGCAAGCTTTTGAAGCCAGAAGTGAATGTGCTGTCGGGAGGCCCACAAGCAAATTTGTCACTTGAAAAAAAAAATCTGGGTCAGAGCCACAGTGCAGAGATTTGGAATTTAAACCACTCCCCCCCCTTTTTTTTGCCATTTCAATTGCTCTTGGTCCTCTGAGGTTGCTATTTCTCCTCTGTGGAATATGCAAACGTTCTTATAGGTGCCTGTATACTCCCCCCCCACACACACTCCAATCTAGTTAACTCTACAGTTTCACAGTGGTGCTATTTCAAGCAACTCTCTCCATATGTGAAAATGAGTTGTTAAAACTGAATGTTGGCTTTTCCCACCTCAAAAAATAAATATGTTAGGCTACCCACTGAATGGAAGCCCTCTGGGAGAGGGCTATGTCATTTCTCTGTTTTGCAGAACACCTGCACTCCATCTGGAACTAAATAAAAGTCAGCAGCAGTCGCAGCGCAGTGTTTGAGTCTCTCCACCTCCTGCCCCACGCACACTCTGCTAAACCAGAGTCCTATTCTCATTGGCCTCAGTTCCATGCAGTGAGCCAATTGTTAGTGTGTCATTTCACTCTAAGGAGGCAGAAAAGGGAAGTTACATTAACAGGGTCAGGTTCTGATTTGTTAAAGCAGGAGAAAACAGCATGGCAAATAAAGCAATAATCACTGCAAGAGAATCACTGTCAACAACCTTAGGGCAAACCCTCACCTGGAATTCAGAGTTATGCTCTTTCCGCAAAGCCTCTTTTGTGGCATCCTGGGAGCTGGAACTTGGCAATGAGTCTTTCTGGCCTTTCAGGCAGTCACCAATGTGGTCCACCTTCTTCATGAAGCTGTTTAGCTCTTGCTGAAGGACCCCAAGTCGCATCAAAATGGCACTGATCAGCTTAGAATCCGTGGTGCTCTCGTTGTCCATGGCCTCGCTCAGCACTAGCTCCGCACAGTCATTATCCATGCAGAGCTTTAGGCTGGAGGTGAAGCCGTTGGCATCCGAGATCAGGACATCGATGGCTTTGCTGACCAGTGCAGCCTGGTCCCTGATGTCAAGGAGAGTCTCAAAGTCCTTCGATTTGAGAAACCTGCTAGGGCTGGTTTCATGAGATTTGTTAATATTGCTAAGACTATTTCCAGGTGCTCTCTCTTTAGCATCATTCTCTCCCCCAACTGGCACCTCTCTCCAAAGGGACGTTGGAATGCACTGGGCAGAGTCTCCAGCCTCAGCATCTGTCTCCAGCATGGGCCGGGTGGTCTGGCACGAGGCAAGGTCACAGCGCTGCAAGTTAGAAAGCAGCACTCGGTTCTCGTACTGCAGCTTCTTGACCTTGCCGCTCAGCTCACTGATTTGGACCTTGGCAGTGGCCAGCTCTTCTTGGGAGGTCTCGCTGATCACCGAACAGCTGTCCTCAGAGAGGGTGATGTCCAGGTCATGATCTGACTTGTACTTATTGAGTTCATTCATGAGGAGCTTGTTCTGATCCTCCAGTTCCATCAGCGACCGCCTCAGCAGTTCTGCCTCCTCCTCCACGAACTGCAAATGCCTTCTGAGTTCCATTACACTCTCCCCTGAGTCCCCACAGTTTGTCATGGAGAAGGAAAACCGGATGTCTTGCCCCAAGAGTTCTTTGTCTCCTTGCACTTTCATGTCATCCATTTCTGCCCTCAGCCCTCGGTTTTCAACCTCAAGCTCCACTATCCTCCGGCTCAAGATGTTGGCTTCTTCCTCAACAAGCTTCAGGTGGACTTTCAGCTCTGCCTCTCTGGAATGAGGGGAGTCAGCCAGCTCCTCTATGGAGAGGGAACTCTCCAGATCCCCATACAAGGACCGATATTTCATCAGTTCCTCTTTCATACTGTCATTCTCTTTGGCTACCTTTGTTAGTTTTTTGCACATCAGAGCAGACTCCTCCTTAGCAAAATGCAATTGACACTTGAGGTCTGCACTGTCCTCCTAGAATTAAGAAAGAAAATGGTGCAAGAATTTTTTTTTAAAACCCTGAAATTTATAAGGTGATAAAAAGATATTCATTGAGAAAAGGTTAAGCCCCAACCCTATTCATCTGCTTACTTCCAAATTCTACCCTCACACTGGCAAAGGATCTTAAGGAATTTCCCTCCACATTGGGAAGATAGCAGGAGTCAAGGCTACATGTGGCTATCAAGAAAAGCTTGCCAGAAGAAAAATAACTGGCAGAACAAGTAACCTGGGGTGATTCCAGGAGCCAGCTTTGGTTGGGAGGGCGGGGTAGAAATCCAATAAATAAATTTGGGAGGGGGGTTTTAATAGGAGACCAGTTCAGCAACTGTTATGGATGGTATAATCATACAAGTCCAATGCCATTGAATGGTCTAGCAGAGTTCCAGAGAATGCTGTCATGTCAAAAATCTAAAGGGTAGATGGTGGCAGTATGCCTACAGTTTTCAAACTCTACAGATTGGAACAGGTGGGAAAGTAGAATGTCTGTGAAAGGGGCAAGTTAAAAAAATGCCAAAAAGCTCATCAAAGGAGAATCAATCATCCCACAATGACGGGGGAAATCTGCAATCACATCGGCTTCAGGATTCTCTGGGAAACTTAATCTCAGGGGAGCCCCATTTTCATGACCAGACTACCCATGTGTAGATTTTTGCTGATTTTTCAAAAGGAAAATAAAATCATTTAACATGTATATGTTCTGTACTTCTAACATGCTTGCTCCCACAGTGGCTTCTACTAAAGGAATTGGTGGATTTGACAGAGAGTGGATTTGACAAAGAGAGAGAAGCCTGTCTCTGAATCTTACACTTTATTAGCTTTCCAAAAAAATTAGAAATAAACAAGCCTTGTGCCAAATACATATTAAAAACAGGGAAATGAGCATAAATTTTAAACGTATATGATAATACAAAAATTATAATGAGACCAACTGATTTCTCCTCCTAACAATTTTTCTGTACAATACAAATCTTCTGTATCCTTTCTTCAAGAGTATGCATGCTCGCTCTTGATAATTAAATCCACTATCTTTCCAATTCCATGTACTCATTTTTTAAAATATATTCTAACAAGGGTTTGAGGCTCCCACCACCCCCAATCTAAGCAAATATATCTTTTCCTGAATACCTGGATTCTGCCACAAAATCCGAGGTCACCTATTCTAGTCCAATCTTAACACATGCTTACTTCTTCCAGTCTCCCTTTTAATGCTTTTTTCTTTGGACTTCAATGATGGATTTCAAAAACATTCCCTTAGTTTCCCAATCCATCAGATATCTACAAGGAAAGCCTTCCAATGAGTGGTATAGCCCAGGAAGAAACATTTCATATGATTTTTCTGTGCATCTGAATTGCTTGTAAGGTTAATTTACTTTGTGTGAGAAGTGTGGGTAGAATTCAGCCAACAGGAAACAAGATGGAGTTGATGGCCTTCTAATCCTGCCAGATCTTAAAATTCTATCACTTGTTCCTAAATAAGCCCTAAAGAAGAAAACAAGGCTACAGTTGGGACTGTGTTCTGGGCTGTTTCCAAACACAGGCAGAGAAATGTGACTAAGTCACTGTCTATACATTTCCAAGTGCTGGATCTGTTCCCTTTTTTGAAAGAAATGGAGGAGGGGGACTCAGCTGTGTTCTTACAGACTTTTGAAAGCAAGAAAACCATGAGGAAATGCTACACAGTTTAGAGAGTTCTTGGATTCCCTGTGGCAATTTGAAGATTTGAAAATTTTCCCTCAATAAATATTACCTCATAAAGAGTGACCGTTAGTTTTAAACCTCAGCGTTCATTTCCTGTTTCCATGGCTCACTGAGGGGAAAAAAACTCGAAAAATCTTTCCCCCAGTAAAGACACTCTCTACCAGGCACTCAAGAGCTCCTTTCCAGATGGCCAGTACAGTATGAACATTCAATTGCAACCGTCATGCCTGAGATTGCATCAGCCCAGAGCTGAAAAGAGGCTATTATTAACTCTCTAAAAGTCCCTAGACTGTTGTATTACAATTAGAAAAACTTCATTGCACTGGATTCCAGCACAGCATGAAGTAGCACCAAAAATTCACTGTAGAATAAACCACCCAAGGAAGAGCTGGGGACACAGTGACTTTTAACTTTTTATGCAAGCAGGTATTCATGCTCTCTCAAAAACCAAACACAGTTTCAGCTCTGGGGTTCAAAAGAAGCCCTTTAACAGGAAAGCAGCATGCAATGTGTCATGCTTTTTTGACTACTGGGGCCTGATTTTCAAATGCTCACTGTACCTCAAAAAGCTTACGTATCAAATCCCAAAAGCAACAGTAATGTAACAGACTTTTTGTTTTGCCGTCAAGTCTCACAGCCGACTTATGGCAACCCCATAGGGTTTTCAAGGCAAGAGACATTCAGAGGTGGTTTGCCACTGCCGACCTCTGCGTAGCCACCCTGGTATTTCTTGGTGGACTCCCATCCAAATACTAACCGGGGCTGACCTTGCTTAGCCCTAACCTGGCCAAGGCAGATCAGGGCTACCTGTTCCATTAGAATCAACCAAAACATCGCAACATAGTAAACAAGCTTCCAAGTTTCCCAGTCTCATCAGGCTGGATGTTCAATTTAAAAAAGGGGAGGGGGAGATGTTTCAGGGGATTATGGAGGAGCCCATAGTTCTGTAGTTGGTCATGTGTTGAAATGGAATCCCCCCCATTCCCAATTTTGTACCAAAGATCCAGCCTGATGAAAAGTTCCAGAAAACCCAAAACCTTGATCACTGTTTTGTGATATTCTGGTTGGGGAGAAGTTCGTGCCAAAACCAAGTGTAATGTAAAAGGGGAGAACCTTGAATGGCACCAAAACCACACTGTGAGTCCTGAAACTAGTGCAGCTTATGCTGTGTCTGCAGCACTTTTTCTTCCACTGTAAAGGCAGGCTGGAATGAAGAAACAGTGGATCGGCTCAAGGTATGTGTACACTTACATTAATTTTCAATATATGCAGCCCAACACTATGCATCTTTACTCGGAAGAAAGTCTCACTGTGTTCAATGGGTTTTGCTCCCAAGTAAGTGTGCACAGCACTGTAGTCTCTCATTCTTTGTATTTTTGCTTTTTTTGGTGTGTGTGTTTGCGTGTGCATGCCCATGCCTGGAAATCATGGCGACTTCTGGCGACTCATAATGGGGCATGGAGAGCGTTCAGTGGCTTGATAGCCTGCCTCTGGCTTCCCAGCCCTGGTATTCTCTGGAGGTCTCCCATCCAAATACCTGCCAGGGTCAGCCCTGCTTAGCTTCCAAGATCTGACGAGATCGGGTTTGGCTGGGCTATCCAGGTCAGCGCAGCATAGCAGTCTTAAAGAATTTGATGTTTTGAGCACAGATCTCCCAAAGCCTTCTAAAGAAAGGACAATTTACAGGAGAAGCACTAGCCATTTGTGTAGAAGAATGGCTAAATCACTAACCCTGTAGAACTGTGCAGATGGCAGTTATGGACCTGCACAAAGAAGATAGATGGGCCCTTTAATTTCCTGCTAAGTTTTTTTCCCTCTCATATAAATCATGTACTGGAGTATGCCTGGCTGATATATGCAGACAGGAAGTCCAAGAACTCTCAAGAAGACTGAGTAGCTTGGGAATCCAAACTGACAGAGAGTATGGCATGTACCCTTTCTCCCACGCAGCTGCATACTCTCTAGGTACATCTGGTCTCTTCCCCAGACACTGGCAACGATGGGGAGGGAAAGAACTGGTGTAACCACTGTCTCTTCCAGGTGTCCATTTTACCCTAAAAACAACTGCATGGAAAGCACTTTCTATGTATTGACTAGTATTAGAGCTTTGCCAAGAAATACACAACCCGCCATCTGCCCATCTCATTCACTCAGCACACTTGGCAACCCTTTTCCATGGTAATGGAAGGAGAGTATGGTGATGCTTGTTATGCTGCCCTTTTGACACCTGAGGAATCTGAAGTACAAACAAGGATGTCGTATCTAGTCCTGGTGCTCAAGGGCACAAAAGAATCCTAGTTCTTGAGAACCACAGCTCCTCTGATTATTTCTGTTAGGGAGATAAAGCTGCTGCTCCAATATATTATATGCTGTAAACATATCCATTTCAGGGTCCCTGAACAAATCACGAATATATTGGCAATGCTGCTCAGACACCCAAAATCAGGAATGCACGACTGATTTCAGTAGAAATATGAACAATTCCCCTAGCTATTCGTCTAACAAAATGTTCGTGCACATCTACAATATCAATTTTTGTCTCGGTGAGGGGCATAAACTCCATTTAAAAATCAACAACACATGGCAATGTGCTGCAATTCATCCCAGCCCTCATTCTGCTCTGCCACTGAGCTATTTCATTTGCATCATTTGTTTCTTTCTAATGGCACCCCTTGGCATCATTGTGGGGGATTTGGCTTCTTGATGTTCTACTGCTCTTTGGGGTCAGCCAACACACTACAGAGCACTTGACTACTAAACCCAAGCACTAAACCTACACACAAAATGGAGGGAAGGGGTTTGCCAGTTTGTTCTGCCATTATTTAAAATGTGTTCATTAGCATTCGAATATGCATAAGAAAAGCAACTGCGTGAACAACCACCCCCAAAAGTGCCACTACTGTACCCTTACACCTTCAGCTTTGATCCTTTGCATCATGGTACCAATGTATTTAAGATCACTTGGAAGAATAAAACCCCCTCAGCTTGTCAGCAGATGGAAAGTACTTATTTATCAGAGCATGCTGCAACTTGTAAGTATGCAACAGCAGGGGATAGGTAGGCAAGCTAAGGTACTTTGGAAAATGTACAGATCTACTGCCCATTCCTAACTAGGGCTTTAATTACTGTGATGTGCACAACTGCTGGAACCATAAAAGCCAAAGTGGCGTCCGATGAAAGACAAGCAAAGCAGAGCTCACCACCCGGCTTGCCTACAAAAACTCCCTCCTCACCCAGCCACCCCATTTATTTGCAGCATGGGGCCACTCCTAATGCTTTTTAAGATGCCACACAAGGGTGGCCAAGCTTGAGCCTAAAAGCTCATTGCACAGCTTTCCTGCCACAGGGAACAGCAATAGCTCCTCATGTTTGGGCACGTTTGCACTATGCTTAACACACCTGGCTCAGGAAGCCACATGCTAGAACTTCATTCCATAAGCAACATACTCCACACAGCCAGCTCTCAGGAGTCAACGTCAACTATGACTGATGGTATAAAGAGCAGGAATACTGTCCTTGTATGCCAGATTAAGCAGTGGGTTTATATTCTTGCATTACTTGTTATATGTATTATATTATTTTGTCTTCCACAATCTGCCTTGAGTCTCAAGAAGGAAGGAAGGAAGGAAGGAAGGAAGGAAGGAAGGAATATTCCCACAGCTAATACAGCCTTTATGTTAAGCGCACATTGCAGGCTGAATTTGCAAAAGACAATAGAAACGTATGCACGATATGACTTTAGAGCGATACCTGGGCAGATGATTTTTTGTCTGCCTTCCCAAGAGAGCATGATCCTCTTTTCTTCAAAGAATTCTGAAATAAAAAACAAAATGGATTAATGGTGTTTATTTTTCCGCATAAGTAGACCTCATATCAGTTCCAGACCCTCCTGTTTTTGTATCATTCAGGTTATCTCCACCTACCTGGATATAAATACATGGTAAAAATGGTGGCAATTACTCTGGATTAACTGCCAACATGAAATTTGAGTAATTTACTCCCTCTTAAGTGTTTGATTTAATTCTAGAACTGAGTATGAGAGAGAGAAATCTGCTGGTTTATATTTTGGCATCCATAGTTACATTTAGAACTAGAAATATAAAACTTCCAAAAATGCTAAAGCCATGGAAAAAACGATTTTTAAAAACTCAGCAATACTTATTCTCATATCAACTAAACTTATTTTAATGATTTAACAACACAAATATGCATAATTTTTAACAGTTCCCATATAAAATTATACTATTTAGTAGATATATGAAATTTTAGCTATATAAATGACTGTTTTTTGTAGTATCGAAAACATTCAAATGTTCAACAGTGCATCATCATAATCATACACCTTATAACTTATTAACTCTGGAAAAATTAATCACATAAACAATAAACATATATAGGAAAATATGTTGTACAAGTGTGGGACTCACTACGACTTATGTGAGGCGGGAATTTTATCTCCACACACTCCCTTTCTCCCTCCTGCGTTTCCTCTTTCCCACACCCTGGCAGTGCATGTAGCTTCTCCCCTTACCCACTTACCTCCCTCTTTCTGTACCCTGTCCCCATCTCCAGCTTTCCCTCCCTCTAGCAGTCCTTCCCCTTTTCAGCTTATCCTGCCCCCAACCTACTTATTTATTTATTTATTGGTTCAATTTGTACCCCACCCTCCCCGCAACGCAGGCTCAGCTTTCCCTCCCTCTAGCAGCCTTTCCTTTTCTTCTACCCACCTACCCTTTTTACAATTCTCCCCCCGGCAGCACCTGTCCCCCTATTCATCCAACGTTTTCCATTTCTTTCCCCCATCTTCAGCTTTCCTTTTTTACTTTGCACCAAAAATCTACTCAAGGGGCAGTACTGACCAGTATTCCAAATACGGGAGTGTATCCTCCCACATTAAGTGAAGGGGTTGTAGTGACATTTACAGCAAGAAAAGCATAGCTTGTCAAAAGTAGTAATGCAGTTTAAATGAAGTGGGGGGATATTCCCAAATGATTAGTAATAACTTAAACATACATCAAAGTGGGCAGCCATGTTAGTCTGACTATAGCGGTAGAAAAGAGCATGAGTCCAGTAGCACCTTAAAGACTAATAGCATCTTAAAGACACATATTTTGTTAGTCTTCAAGGTGCCACATATTTTGTTAGTCTTTAAGGTGCTACTGGACTCTTATCTTTGAAAATACATGTTGATTTTGGTCAAAATCTGTCATCCTGGACAGGCATAATCCCTCCATGTGAGACCAAAAGAACAGCACGGGGAATTATGTCCAACTTTGTCATCAAAGCGGGGAGTACACTTAGAAGGGGAACAAACACAACTCAGTTAGTAGCAACAGAAACATGTCCCATTAAAGAAAGGACAGTGCTGCATAGAAAATATGGTGCCAGAGCTGTGATATCAGAGGCCACAATTTCTTTATAAAAGGCTGAAATGCATGGCACCTCCTTGATCATATAGGCAGAGTGTGACTAACTATCCATGCTCTGCTTCAAGAGGATCATTATTCATTACAAGGTCCTTTAAAAAAGATTTCATCTTAATCACCCTGGCTGCAGCTTTATGGATGAACCTCCTTTTCAAGGTTCAGACACAAAAAAATATCTCAGGACTTTCAAGTAAGCAAGCAGTTGGCCCACCAACACACATTCTGTTAACTGTGTCCTTTTCATTACATTTGCAAAGAGAGGAATTGAAAAACAACAACATAGATTGTCAATACTGATGGTGAAGGATGGAATATGTTTACAGCCAGTATCTTAGGACTGGTTCACACATGCAGGCCTGCAGTGCAAATAAGGTGGCAGAGGGTCATATGGACTGTACCGGTCCAGTTTGCAGATGGGGGATTACAGCATTTCAAGAGTTCTCCTACATTATTTATTCCTTAGAAGCACAAAACGAACACAGCACATAAGAAAATTAGGTGAGAATCTTTCTCCCTGATGTACTAGTGTTTGTTTGTTTCAGGAAGGTTTTACATGGAGAACATTAAAGATGAGCCTCCCCAACCTGCAGTCTGAAGTGGTTCAGCCCATTCTGCCACCTCCTAATTCTACCACCTTATTTTGCTGCATTTTAAACCAGGCCCTACATAGGTTTATAGCCAAATTATACGCATTCATGGAGGGAGGACTAATGGCTATCAGTGACTATTACCCATAACAATTAAGAATGAAGTCTTCAAGGCAGCATCTGTCCCATGCTGAAGATAAACAACAGTGGAGAGATTGTTGCCTTTGTACCATTGTTACAAGCTATCAAGAAGCATCTGGCTAACCCCAACATACTACGAAAAACTACTTTTGGATAACAATGATTCCCAAAAAGGATTAATATCCAGGATCTATAAAATACTGCTTCTTAATACATCTGCGAAACTTCCTTCATACACAAAAGCCTGGCAAACAGACTGCAAAACCAAATTTACAGAAGCTCAATGGGAACACATTTGGCACTCCCCTACGTTGACCTCAAATTCGCTGAATTTTCTTTTTCAGTTGTTTAAATTAGTGGCATGATGGTATACAACCCCCACAAAACTTCACCGTATAGCTCCTGCTAACTCACCACTGTGCTGGAAGGTCTGTGGTGAAGCTGGCTCATATATTCATTGTTGGTGGATTCGCAGAAAAATCCAGATTTTTTGTAAACTAGTATTAACACATATAAACGGCATAACTGGTTACACACTACCAGAGAGTCCCCAACTAGTCCTATTAAACCTTTGACAAGAGTGAAACATTCCCAAGATCAATGCTCCCTCTAAGCTGTGGAGTCTTGTGAGCAAAAATTCAACTTCGTAAGCTACTTGCATTAAAGTTTTGAGCAAGCGATTGGGCTACTGTATAAATTAGTTTGCTCTGGAGCCATCCTTCCTGAGCTAAGACAAAAAAGTGTGATCCGGAGGCTAAAAAACTGTGAGCTAGCTCACACTAACTCAGCTTAGAGTTAGTGCTCAAGATACGATGTGAGCTCATTTTGATATTAATACTGGCCGCAAAGAACGTTATAGCCACAAATTGGAAGATGCCAAACTCCCCTTCAACAAAAGCCTGGTATTCTAAAATCTGGGATTATGCCATTATGGACAAAATAACAGAAGATATTAGGAGAACCAAAAAAAAACCCCTTGACTACTTCAAATTACCTGGAGAAATGGTACCCCTTTTGGAGGAAATGTTGTTTTGATCGAGAAAACCCAAATCCTTTTGGAAATAACAGAAATAGTAAATTTTATAGCCCTGTTGTAATAAAAGAGATACAGAGAACTATATATTGACAAACTCAGTGTTATGTAGCGAAAGTTGGTTGTTTTGTTTTGTTCTTGAAAATACATGTTGATTTTGGTCAAAATCTGTCATCCTGGACAGGCATAATCCCTCCATGTGAGACCAAAAGAACAGCACGGGGAATTATGTCCAACTTTGTCATCAAAGCGGGGAGTACACTTAGAAGGGGAACAAACACAACTCAGTTAGTAGCAACAGAAACATGTCCCATAAAAGAAAGGACAGTGCTGCATAGAAAATATGGTGCCAGAGCTGTGATATCAGAGACCACAATTTCTTTATAAAAGGCTGAAATGCATGGCACCTCCTTGATCATATAGGCAGAGTGTGACTAACTATCCATGCTCTGCTTCAAGAGGATCATTATTCATTACAAGGTCCTTTAAAAAAGATTTCATCTTAATTACCCTGGCTGCAGCTTTATGGATGAACCTCCTTTTCAAGGTTCAGACAAAAAAAAAAAATATCTCAGGACTTTCAAGTAAGCAAGCAGTTGGCCCACCAACACACATTCTGCTAACTGTGTCCTTTTCATTACATTTGCAAAGAGAGGAATTGAAAAACAACAACATAGATTGTCAATACTGATGGTGAAGGATGGAATATGTTTACAGCCAGTATCTTAGGACTGGTTCACACATGCAGGCCTGCAGTGCAAATAAGGTGGCAGAGGGTCATATGGACTGTACCGGTCCAGTTTGCAGATGGGGGATTACAGCATTTCAGAGTTCTCCTACATTATTTATTCCTTAGAAGCACAAAACGAACACAGCACATAAGAAAATTAGGTGAGAATCTTTCTCCCTGATGTACTAGTGTTTGTTTGTTTCAGGAAGGTTTTACATGGAGAACATTAAAGATGAGCCTCCCCAACCTGCAGTCTGAAGTGGTTCAGCCCATTCTGCCACCTCCTAATTCTACCACCTTATTTTGCTGCATTTTAAACCAGGCCCTACATAGGTTTATAGCCAAATTATACGCATTCATGGAGGGAGGACTAATGGCTATCAGTGACTATTACCCATAACAATTAAGAATGAAGTCTTCAAGGCAGCATCTGTCCCATGCTGAAGATAAACAACAGTGGAGAGATTGTTGCCTTTGTACCATTGTTACAAGCTATCAAGAAGCATCTGGCTGACCCCAATACACTACGAAAAACTACTTTTGGATAACAATGATTCCCAAAAAGGATTAATATCCAGGATCTATAAAATACTGCTTCTTAATACATCTGCGAAACTTCCTTCATACACAAAAGCCTGGCAAACAGACTGCAAAACCAAATTTACAGAAGCTCAATGGGAACACATTTGGCACTCCCCTACGTTGACCTCAAATTCGCTGAATTTTCTTTTTCAGTTGTTTAAATTAGTGGCATGATGGTATACAACCCCCACAAAACTTCACCGTATAGCTCCTGCTAACTCACCACTGTGCTGGAAGGTCTGTGGTGAAGCTGGCTCATATATTCATTGTTGGTGGATTCGCAGAAAAATCCAGATTTTTTGTAAACTAGTATT